TGGAAGGGGTGCAGGCCGCGTGCAGGCCCTGGGCTCGGCTGGAAGGGGTGCAGGCCGCGTGCAGGCCTCGGCTGGGCCCGTGCGCTGACCGTGAGGCCTGGGCGGGCTGGGCTGAACCCTCCCTGACTCGGCTGTGCCTCCCGGGGCTGGTGAGGAGTGGCCCCGGGGTGCTCTCTCTTTCTAGAACGTGATCTCCCCGAGCTTGGCCCCTGGTGGGTCCGCTGAGCGCTGGGCCAACTCAGGGCCACAGGAGGCTTGGGGCAGAGCGGGCCTGTGGTGGCCCGGGGCCGCGGGGCCGGCCTCTGCACCTTCGAAACGACGCGGCCTGTCTTGTGCGCCCCTGAGGACGAGGGCCGCATCTGGGTCGGGCCAGGCAGGCGGACGAGAGGGCCGCGGCCCTCCCCGGGCGCCACTGTGTGTCGAAACCAGTCGCTGACGCGGCCGCGGTGTTGAAATAAGTGCCTATGGGTTTCCCAACATCCTGCCAGCTGTCACAGGACCGCGTGCCAGGCCTGGCCGGGGCCTCCCTCTTGGGGTGCCCAGTTCCCCGTTTTCTCCCTGGGGAAACGAGGAGAGACCGCCCCTCCCCTACTGCCACCTGGGCGGGGCAGAGGTCGTGACATCAGGGCAGGGCCGCGTTACCCTGGGCCCACGTAATTCTTGTGATCTGCCCATTTTACGGAAGTCAGGTGGCTTTGGCGTGGAAGGCAGGATTTGAACCCAGGCCTCTGAGTCTGTGCCGATGCTGCCTCCTGGGCAGGAGGGAGGGGAGGGGCGGAGAGAGGAGGAGGCGGGCCAGGATGTCCCGCTGGCCCGGGGGGGACACACACCAGCCTGGCGGCAGAGGGCGGTGGCCAAGGGTCCTGGCTCCCATGCCCTCCGGTGGACAGCCCTGGACTGGGGGTGTGGGCCCTTTACTGAACAGCCCACCTTGGGGAGACGGTGGGAAGCGGGCCTGGGGCTGCCCTGTGCGTGGGCAGCCAGTGACCGTGGTGGCTGCAGGTTCATTGATCATCCACTGTGCTCCAGGCCCTCGACTTCCGGGGCTCGTGGAGCCCTGCCTGTAGCCTCCTGGGGTGGGTGTTCTTACGCTCAGTGTTCAGAGAGGAAACTGGGGCTCAGAGAGGCCGAGTGACCTGCTGGGGGCACACAGCAGGAGGCAGGGAACTGGTGTCTAGGCCGCGGCCGGTGAAGGCCACGCTCTCTAGGATTCTGCTGGATCAGGTTGGGAGGAGGTGGTGTAATGGAAAAGTCCACCCCCAGTGGCAGGTCCTGGCCCTGCCATTCTGAGCTGTGCAACCTCTCTGATCCCTGAGGGACCTCTGCCAGCTTGGGTGTGGAGCGGGTTGAGGGTTGGAATCTGGCTCTCTGGATTAAGAGGAAGAGGAGAGGGGCTCAGGACCGTCTTCCCAGCGCGGCGCTCCTGCAGACCACAGCCAGGTCCCCTGCGGGGTGGGGCCTGGGGTTCTAGGAACCTGTGGCCGGCCTCACCCTGACCGCGGCATCTGCCCGGCGCCCGGCGGCGGGGGAGGGGCCCTGGAGACCAGCCTCTTATAGATGAGGAAGTGGATGCTCAGAGAGGGTGAGGGGCTGGGCTTGGGCCACACAGCGAGGCAGCCGCTGAGCCAGGGGCCTGTGGACAGAGGGTGCGTCGGGAGACCCACGTGCTGGTAAGGTGGAAGTTTCAGTGGTCTGGTGGGGAGGACCACGCAGGTTCCAGCCGGTGACACGTAGCGCCTTCACTGGGGCTGGGAGTGACAGTAACGGGAAGGGCGGTGACCCCCGAGGTGGCTCTCGGTTCCTGAGTACCTGCTGTGTCCCAGGAACTGTGGTTGCTGCCTGCCTGCTGTGCCCCAGGCACCGTGCTCAGCTCACACCATTTATGTCCCGAAACAACCCTGTCCGGAGGTTTTATTCGCCCATTTTCCAGATGAGAACGTTGGCGCCCAGAGAAGTGACATTGCTTCCTGTGGTCCTTGGTCAGGAGGAGGTGGGGCTGGACTTGGACCCTGGTCTCAGTGCCTCCGGTGCCAGGGGTCCCCTGCGTGAGTCTGGTGCCCTCCCTGGGCCTCTGGCTGGGGTGACTGTCCTCATGGTGGGCATGCATGCAGGTCTGTCCCCTCCCCCAGCTGTGCACAGAGAGCCCAGGGCTTGGTTTGCGGGGATGTAGGAGTCTACTGTAGGTTATAGCTGGAGGGAGGCAAGTGGAGTCTCCACCAGGAAGGTAGAGTACCCTTCCTTCTGCTGCATCACTGACTGACTGGGCCCTTCGGGTTCCTGGAAAAGGCCTCTGGCTCTGGACTGGTTGTCCCTGGCAGGGCCTGGCCTTGACTATCTGCCTGTCCCCAGCACAGTGGGGGGCAGTGGGGGAGTAGGCGTCACACTAGGGGGTGCTCCATGATTCGTGAAGGGAGCCGAAGCCGAGGGCACTGTCTCCTTTCGGAGGACGAGGACGCTTAGACCCAGTGGGGTTGGGTCAGATGCCCGCGGGCCCCCCCACCCCCGAGCTGTGAGCTGAGCAGCCAGGACTCGAACCCAGATCTGTGGGCTGTGGGACACCTGTGTTCATCACCTGTGGGGATGGATGAGGACAGGCCAGCCTCGTGGTCACTTGTTCACGTCCACTGCCTCCTGGCCGCTTTCTTCTTATGCGGCATCTCTTTGTAGAAGAGGAGATAAAGGCTCAGAGGGGTTGTTCAGCCTTCTTGGGGTTGCACAGCTTGTCAGCACCTTAGGGCCTCTTTGGAACTTGGTGCTCGCCACTGTCATTCTGGAGGCAGGAAGGTCTCCTGGGCGCCCAGGCCGACGATGGCCATGAGCGCCACCTCCCGCCCTCCTCCTCGCACCTTAGGGCCTC